AATATAGAATATGAGTAGACTAAGCACATTTAAACTCTCAGTAGCATATTCACTTATTTGATTTTCATTTGTAGCTATTATTATGAGAGAAGAATCACTAGCATCAACTTCAATTTATATGTTTATAGATTCTATTGGTTGTTAACTTATATGAAGAATGAATAAGCATGGCTTTCAGACATTAGCTATATTTTTCTTGGAATGGAAAAGATGATAAAAAGATATGGGAAAGTGTCATTTTATTTGCACAAGGCAAGTTTAAAGGAACTTTTTATTTCTTAAAAATGACAACCTGAACTAGATAGAGAGTAATCCCTGAGGAGCCATTGGGCAGGTCAGCAATGAACAAATTCTCAACTTTGGATCCCAATTCCCTAACTTGATATGTTAATTCTACGTTCTACCAGTGAGTCCGTTTGTCATTCTATAAGACTGTTACATTGGAAATATGGAATCAGAAAATGTTCAAGGTGAAGAGTTCTTAAAGATAATTTCATCCAACTTGACTCATACGGCATGGAGGTCTATATGGATCTGTGTGTTCGAGTTCGGAGCTAGAAATTGACATAGAGCTGAATTAAACTGCATAGTAAAAAGTTGTGAAATTTGAAGTATATTCCACAGGCCCATTGTACCATGGAGAAAGGCAGAAAAAAGGATCCTTCTGTCATGGGAGCTTTGGAGAGAAGTATTTAAGAGATGGAACAAACCAAAGATTATTATCTAGTGTGGTTTTTATAATGTAAATGTTCTTCCTTCCTTCCATTGTCTTCTGTGATATCTCCAGCAAATTTGACATTTGTCATTAATGCAAGTGGGTATTTTGGGGAACACTGGCTTATGGAGGAAGGTAAGGGGACAACTGATAATGTGGATTACATTAAAATTTTTTAATTTGCATTAGAAACATCTATGAAAGTCTATACATCTTGGACAATTTATTTTCTTGTTTTTTTAATGGGAAATGTACCTTCACAAGTGAATAAGAAGTTAAACTGCTTAAGTGTTTCAACTGGTTAGTTTGATGCTTCATGATCTTTCACTGGTCTACTTTTCTGTATTCCTTACATAGCAGTTCAGGCCCTTCATGATAGTGAGGATCTGCATGTGTCTATAGGATAGTAGGAAGAAGGCTAAGGAAAGATTTTCCTGTCACTAATTTTCTTTCCAAATGGATCCAAATTTCTTGTATTTTGGAGTGACTTTGGGTTAAGCAGTTGTCTCTAGAAAGTCTCTGTTAAAATACTGAGACTGTTATTAGACATTTTTTTTCCACATTTTTATGCATGTTCCACTTTACTTCTAGGAGAAGGTAATTCAGAAGTAGTAATCTATTTCAGAGGGAGACAGCTTTAAGGACTGGACTAAGAAGATGGCCAGCTAGAGGGAAACCTGGTTTGAATGACTTGCTGAGAACCTTCTGGGATCCAGAAGGTAGTAGAAAGGCATAGGTTTAAGGTTATGATTAAGGTGATAAGGAAGTGAGGGACTAGTCCAAGGAGATGTTTCATATGCTTGAAAACTGTGCCTTTTCTATCCTGTTAAAAAAAAAAAAAGCAAAACACAGGACAAAAGGGATTAAGACTCAGATTTAATTTCCAGTTATATTTGAATTGAGCTATTTTTTCTCTTCTAAATGATCAGTATATTATTATTTTTTCCATATGAAGTAATTTTCTTAACCACTCACTCTTTTTAAACTTCTCCCACAAAAATGGAAAAATGTTGAAAAGTCATTGGAACTAGTTTCCTATTTACTTAGAAACTAGATTCTGTAGGCCATATTTATAACTCCTGGTTTAAACATTTACATTTACTCACATGCCAGAGTCCTTTGATGACTAACTAAACATAAGAGTTTAAAAGCTTGAAGAACAGAAGATTTAGAAATAATTAACAATTTTGTGGCTTTATTTCTTCAGTATAGAATGTACGTGCAGAACTAATAGCAGATAAATATAGGAACTCTTACTTTGGGAATCCACAAAATGTGTATGTTCAAGGTTTCTTATTAATTAAGATGGATTTTAAGCATGCAGATAATGTTACAAATTAAATGTTTTAATTTCTTAACCATCTATTAATCTCTAATAAGGATACATCCATGGAAACTCCTTATTGGCACTGTAAGGGAAAATTCTTTCAGGAGTTTTCAATTTTATATTTGAAATTATGAGATTGAAAACTATGGGATCTTCATTAAATATAGGAAGATCAATTCTGAGTTTCTAGAACAATGATGAATTTGATTTTTTTTTTGGTGTTCTATATTTACCATTGCATTACAGTATAGTATTGCTGTACAAAGTAGATGGAGAGACTAATATTATTTTCATTTGTTAAATGAAAGAACATGCACAACGTATATGTGTGCATGACAAAGGCCTGATTTTGTGAATAAGCAATACAATTACATTCAGAGATAAGGACAGCATGTTTGATCAGGCCTTCCCCAAGGATTTATATAAAGAAGAAGCTAGGGTTGGACACTGACTTCAAATAAAAGATGCCTACTCTTTCTCAGAAGCCAAAAAATTTAAATATAATCTACCAAAAAAAAAGAGACTTATTTTTTCTGTTTGCAAAGTTAGAAAGCTAGAATAGGATCCTTTTTTCTTTTCTAATATAGACTTTCAGACTTAAATAAAACAGTTTTCTCCAATGGGAATAATTATGCAGGCAGACATTCTTTTATTTCTGTTCATCTGTGGCATAAAAGATAAGTCGGACTCCATTATTAGGACTCCCTTGTGCTGCTTAGGAAAAGGCCATTTATCTTTATCCATCTATCATCTAGCTATCTATCAATCTATCTATCTATCTATCATCTATCTACCTATCAATCATCTATCTATCTATCTATCTATCATCTATCTATCAATCTATCATCTATCTATCATCTATCTATCTATCAGTCTATCTATCATCTATCTATCTATCAATCTATCTGTCTATCATCTATCAATCTATCATCTATCTATCTATCAATCTATCATCTATCTATCAATCTTTCTATCATCTATCTATCTATCAATCTATCAATCTATCTAGCTAGCTATCAATCTATCTATCTATCTATCTATCTATCTATCATCTATCTATCTATCAATCAATCATCTATCAATCTATCTATCAATCATCTATCTATCAATCTATCTATCTCTCATCTATCTATCAATCAATCAATCTATCTATCAATCTATCTATCTATCATCTATCAATCTATCTATCTATCAATCTATCTATCTATCTATCATCTATCTATCTATCAATCAATCTATCTATCAATCTATCATCTATCTATCAATTTATCTATCATCTATCTATCTATCTATCATCTACCATCTATCTACCATCTATTACCTATTATCTCCTATTGTCTATGTATCTACAGTCTCTTTTGTGTTTATTTAATTAGCACCCATACCTGAAAATGACATAAAAGAAAATATGATCATAGAAAGTATATTTCTTTCATCATGTGACTGAAAAAAGTAATGCTTCTCTTCAGTATTTGTTAGTCTCTGTGCCTCTGTGCCATAGGGCACTTGACTGACAGTTTTGACTGACTCAGTTATTTAATTAAGGGAAATGACTGGCTTGAAACTAATTATTGTTTTGTAGTATCAAAGAAAGTCAATTTTCCTACTGGTTGAAATTTGTGCTTCTTTATCTTTAAAGCAAAAGGGCAGAGATAGAGTAGCCCTTCACAGGTAGAGATCAGAATCTTGGGTGGGGAGAGTAAGGGAAGCAGTTTGAAAAAACATCTTTGATAATTATCTTTGCTTCACTTTGTTTTCAGACATAATGTTAAATTTATTTTGAAATAAAAAAGTAACATTAAAGAAGAACATGTGAATTTTTTATTAAAAAGGAGAAAGGAAAAATGTGTGAAGGAAGAATGGAAAGAATATGATAACTGGTGAAGGTTTAGGATTCTTACAACCTCTAGAGGTGTAATCAAGGCTCAACCTATATATATATATATGTATATATATATATGTATTTTTTTTTTTTTTTTTTTTTAGTAAGCTCCCTGCCCAGTGTGGAGCCCAACAATGGTGCTTGAACTCACAACCCTGAGATAAAAATCCAAACTGAGATCAAGGGTCAGACACTTAACCCATTGAGCCACAGGACGCTCCTATCCTATATATATTTTTATGGCAAAGATTGTCATTACTGTCATTGTGTCCATTTTCTTCCCCATGTCTCCTTAACTGAAAATTCCACAGATATGCCTACATTACATCTAAATATCCTACCAGAGGACCTGAGTCACATGTGGGCCAGAGCTGGGATGGGAGAGTAGAACTTCTGAACATCCATTTTCGTTGTTATTGTTCCTGTGGCTTTTTCTTAGTTTGCATTTGAGGCAACATTAGCTTTTTTTAAACAGAACAATTTTAGGAGAGTGAAAAAGACATGGGAGCCCTCGTGTGTGTGTGTGTGTGTGTGTGTGTGTGCGCGCGCGTATGTGAATTTTTCATTACTTATTGACAAAAGCATACCTGGAGTTAATAATAGATACAGTTCAAACCTTAGCTCTTTTAGTAAGTCTTATTTTCAAGCTAAGTCATTGGTTTGGTTAGAATTTTGCAAATATTAAAAATTAAAATGTCAAATGGTAAATCACAGATAAAGAACATGGTAATGAATAATAGGGACAAATTGTTTAAACTCTTATGTAAAATTCGATAAGGTGTTTTACATAACTAATGAATTGACAAGGTCTTGTGGAGAAAACAGGTCCAGATGGCAAACATACGCAACGGATTTAGTCAAACAATTTTTTTGGCAAGAATAATATGAATTTTGTAATCAGTCAGGGGCCAATGAAATACAAAGATGAGTCTGGTTAATAATCTACAATTATTGGTTAAAGAGGTATATTAGTGCGAATTTCCCTCTGTTGGTCCTACCTTTTCTCTTCTATCAACCCCACAAGCCTTTGGCACAATGAAGTGGGTAACTTTTATTTCCCTACTCTTTCTCTTTAGCTCTGCTTATTCCAGGGGCGTGATTCGTCGAGAAACACGTAAGAGTTCTATTTTCCTATTGTTCAACTTCTACTTTATTTTCCTAGCGAGAGAAAATTTTAGAAAACCCTGCATCTTTAAAGAAGTGTTTTCCTTTAGCATTTATTTCTAGATGGTGATGATATTTTGTATTTGTGATCCCTCAGGAAGTTATTTTTTTTAAAAAAGATTTTATTTATTTATTTGAGAGAGACAGAGACAGAGAGAGAGAGAGAGAGCAGAGAGAGAGCACCAGCGGGGGATAGGCAGAGGGAGAGGGAGAAACAGACTCCCCGCTGAGCAGCCGGAACCCTGAGATCATGACCCGAGTTGGTGGCAGAGGCTTGACCGACTGAGCCACCCAGGCGCCCAGGAAGTTATCTTATTAATACATTTCTAACATCCTAGGTGAAAAAAAATGGTGAGAATTGATTCAGTAGCTGTAACTTCCTTCTGCACCTGAAGGAAATTAAACAGAGTGACTTAAACTTCACAGAATATAGTTGATGTTAGAATTCATAGCTCCACATTCCCAAAGTCTATCGCACCTTGATTTATAAAAAACAAAAACCTGTGTTATTCATCTTATAAATAGAACTTGTATTTATATTTTTCATTTCAGACTGTCCTCCCAGAAGCTGTTAGTAGACACCACAAGAGCATTAGCTCTTAACCAAGTTTGAATATAAAACCAAAAGTATTTAATGATTTTAATGATTTTTCAAATAGTATCATCACTGATTGAATAACTCATCTGTTTAAATGCAGAAGAAATAGTTCATCATCATCTCAAGATTTTCTATAGGGATCTGATGCCAATATTTTGGAGCAAATGAATACCTAAGTCACATGGAGAGAAACACAAAAAGTAACACCATAACTAAGTTGTTTTCTTCAGAATGTAAACAAATCTGTTTTGTTTTTTCTTTTTTCCTCTCCAGAACAGAGTGAGATTGCTCATCGGTACAACGATTTGGGAGAAGAACATTTCAGAGGCCTGTAAGTTAAAATACTGAACAGTCAAATTTAATGTTTCTAATAGTGTTGGTTATTACTCTGAAGTTCTTATAGTCCCTTGTCATCAGAGTCCAGCTTCTAGGACCATCCTATCCGATAGAATTTTCTGCATTGATGAAAATATTCTATATCAGTGCTGTTTGGTATGGTAGCCACTGGCCACATGTGGCTATTGAATACTTTAAATGTGGCAAGTGCAACTGAGGGACTGAAATTAAAGTTGCATTTAATTTTGATTTATGTAAATCTATGCAGCCAGGCTACTGGCTACCATATTGGACAGTGTAGCTCCAGAACTCTTCCATAACCTGCATGGTAAGAAAGACTTTAACATATGGTTCCTTTTGCAGCTCACTTACTAAATTCCTTTACCTAGTAAATAGGTCTGTGGTTTCTTGAGAGCATTTTAATATTTTTTAATCTAGTACAAAATGAGAAAACAGTTTAGTTTTTAAAGGTCAGTCTCATGCTACGGCCTGATTAAATGAGAGGTGTGTGTGTGTGGTTTTGTTTTTTTGTTTTAAATAGTCAAAGGGCCTATGTAATGTCCCTAGTCTTAATAATAAGATATATTTAGAATACATTTCTCTTGCCTGCTCTATGTTTGTGCATCTACTGACATGTGCACACATGTGTTTAAACATGGTGTAAAAACATGTCCTCTTTGCTCAGAAAGCCACATATGCCTGGTTAGGCTTCAGATAACAGCTGATATGAATAGACTTTCTGGCTAATAGTGAGGTGTATAAAATATAGAACATATACAGACAGTTTGTTGTCCAGCGTAGCCAGCTACTTTATATTAACATTTCACCATGTTACATTTTTCTTTTTTAAAAAAGACTTTATTTATTTGTTTGAGAGAGTGAGAGAGAGTGCACAAGTGGAAGGGAGGGGTAGAGGGAGAGGGAGAAGCGGGCTTCCCGCTGAGGAAGGAGCCGGATGTGGGGCTGGATCCCAGGACGCTGAGATCATGACCTGAGCTGAAGGCAGAAGCTTAACCGACTGAGCCACCCAGACGTCCCATGTTACATTTTTCTGTGTCCCTTGTTTCAGGGTGCTGGTTGCCTTTTCTCAGTATCTCCAGCAGTCCCCATTTGAAGATCATGTGAAATTAGCGAAGGAGGTGACTGAGTTTGCAAAAGGTTGTGCTGCTGACCAGTCAGGGGCCGACTGTGGCAAATCCCTTGTAAGTACATTCTGATTTTGAGTGTTATTTCTTCTTTCTGTAAGTAGTCCTGATTATTTCAAAGGAAAAACAATCCCACTTTTGTTTCCTCAATTATGAATTCGTAAGCAACTCTTCAACAGTGAGGGTAGCCGTTATTTCTTCTATGACAGAGATGTTCTAGCTATGCCCACAGTTTTAAAGACATTTCTTTATGAAGACCACACACAACAGTAACAGTGCATTTAAATGGAAATTTGTGATTTTTAAGTCTCTTTTTAAAATTTGAGGTTTGATTTCTTTTAATTGAGGCTAGCAGTGAGAGCGTGGTTTTTATCTTCCGGAGACACTCATCTGATTTCTGTGTTGATTTTGTTTCTTAGGTAAAATAATAGTACAGTTATATAGTCCTCATTTTAGGGATAGTTATATTTTTACATAGAATAAAAAATCAGGGCATTTATTCATTTTGAAGGACTTTGAAATTTTGGTATTTCCAGTAGGTGTTCAATTCAGGGAGAGGTTTATGTTTCTCTCACCACTCAAACCTGTATATACCTTTCCAGGGCAAGGCCAGGGTTTATGTATCACTGAAATCTTTCCCCCTCTTATTTCTTTCTCTCTATGTATCTCTCCCTTAAGATAGAATTGGTACTTTAACTCGATATTTTTAACAGTGTTACCGCTGTAAGTATGAATTTTAAAAAATATTTTTTTGGGGAAAATTAATAAATTCCATCTTCAGCAGTATATTTTCCCTGAAGATCCAATTACTCTCATAATAAAAGTTATTGGGGACAGGAAGAATACATTTAATGGAACGTGTTTTGAGGCAAATGTTTCTAGACTAAAAAAGATCTATATTTTAACATAATAAATAATATACAGTAAGTTGTGTTACTCCTCATTTTTGAATGGTACCTACTTAAAAGTTGGACCTTTTGGAAAGATGCAGATCAAATGAGAAACTCTCTGAATACTTTCTTCCCTAATGTGAATTCACCTGCAACTTAGAGGATTATTTTCCCTTGATTTTTTTTTAAAGATTTTTTTCTTTCTTTACATTTTTTATTGTTATGTTAATCACCGTACATCACATCATTAGTTTTTGATGTAGTGTTCCATGATTCATTGTTTGTGCATAACACGCAGTGCTCCATGCAGAACACGCCCTCCTCAATACCCATCACCAGGCCAACCCATCACCCCACCACCCCCCAGAACCCTCAGTTTGTTTCTCAGAGTCCATGGTTCGTCTCCCCCTCCGATTTAACACCCTTCATTCTTTCTTCCCCTCCTGCTATCTTCTTCTTTTTTATTTTTTTCTTAACATATATCGCATTATTTATTTCAGAGGTACAGATCTGTGATTCATCAGTCTTGCACAATTCACAGCGCTCACCATAGTACATACCCTCCCCAATGCCTATCACCCAGCCACCCGATCCCTCCCACCCCACCCCCACTCCAGCAACCCTCAGTTTGTTTCCTGAGATTAAGATTTTATTTATTTATTTGACAGAGAGAGACACACAGGGAGAGAGGGAACACAAGCAGGGGGAGTGGGTGAGGGAGAAGCAGGCTTCCCGCGGAGCAGGGAGCCGGATGCGGGGCTCGATCCCAGGACCCTGGGACCATGACCTGAGCCGAAGGCAGACGCATACCGACTGAGCCACCCAGGCGCTCGGATTATTTTATTTTATTTTATTTTTTTATCAGCTCTCCTAGATTATAGCGTGAGGTAGAAATAGGAGCCGTGTTCATTGCTGCCCTTGTGTTGCACCCACCCTAAGTAATCAGGTGATGGTCAGTTCTTACGAAAATCCCATGGATGGTCAAATCAAGGGAAACTCTAAACCTGAGAAAAAAGTGTACATGTACTTGAGTTCCCAACCAAGGCTTACCGATGCTTTCAATTTTTTATACTCTTCTTTGGGTACAAAGGAAATAAAATACCCCCCGGTGACCCGAAGCCTGCTCTCTCCCACCTAGCACACGCTCTTCGGAGACAGACTGTGTACCGTTGCCTCTCTTCGTGAAAAGTATGGCGACCTGGCTGACTGCTGTGAGAAACAGGAGCCTGAGAGAAATGAGTGCTTCCTGAGTCACAAAGACGATAACCCCGGCTTCCCTCCGCTGGTGACCCCGGAGCCGGACGCCATGTGCACCGCCTTTCAGGAAAATGAACAGAAGTTTCTGGGAAAGTAAGTCCTCAGATCTTTACGCTTCAGAATGAAAAACTAGGACAAAGGTCGAGACTTATTATAGCCAGTACTACAATAAAAAATATTCTCGACATTAAGGCCTAGAAGCGTTTGTTCTAATGACAGTTTTCAAAGCAGTAATATTTGATGCCGCAAAATTCTCCATGGTGAAAAGAATTGGACCCAAGATCTTTTGGAGTTCATTGAAACAGGATGTGATCTGTGTAAGAAAAACGGAGATGGGCCTGTGTTAAAATATGATGAAGATATGTATTTAGTTATTCTCAGAATTGATTTAATCTTAGTCAAAAACATTGCATCACCAAAGTTTATTTTATACCTATGTGTGTGTATATGTGTGTACATATATATAAAACATATATATGTATGTACACAATTTATATATAGAAGTTCAACCTTTCACTGACTTCTAGAATGACAAAGGCAAGGTCATCGTGTGCAAATTGAGATTAACTGGTAAATTAGATGAGAAGGTTGATTACAATGGTTCCCATACTACTGTTTGCCATAGAAAAGCGACTGCCTGTTTTTCTTTTTTGAAAATGTAGATACCTGTATGAAGTTGCCAGAAGACATCCTTACTTTTATGCCCCAGAACTCCTTTACTATGCTCAGCAATATAAACAAGTTTTTGCAGAATGCTGCCAAGCTGCTGATAAGGCTGCCTGCCTGACACCCAAGGTATTCCCCAGAAGAACAGGAGGAGCAATTCATCATCAAACCTCAGACTTTGAGCATCTTATGGCTAGATTTAGGGAATTCGTGCCTCTGATACAAAGTCCTTTACATGGTCAGAAAAAGCCTTCCTCCCTCTTCTAGGGAGTTTAGTGATGTTGGGGGAGTGGGTGGAGATAAATTATATGCAAAATTAAGAAGTCAGCAAAGTTATATTTTCTGGGATGTTAGTGGACTCTGTTCTTCCACATTTCCTGTCAGCTCCCTTTTCCTTGGCAATGTCTGCACTCCGGTTCTTAACTACCTAAGGGCTTCCACTAGGACCAGACTGATTTTGCTCCCCCTGCTTAGCAAAATAATTATTTGCCAATAGTGGGCACTTGGGAATTTAGGTGTAAATTAGCTCTTTAAATTTTAATTTGGCACAGTTTCATCTGAACTTATGAAGGGGTGTTTTGTATAGAATTTTCCTTTTCTAATTTTTCCAAAATCATTTCTTTTTGCAGATTGATGCTTTGAGGGAAAAAGTACTGGTTTCATCTGCCAAAGAAAGATTCAAGTGTGCCAGCCTCCAGAAATTCGGAGATAGAGCCTTCAAAGCATGGTATTTTAAACTTAGTTTGAATCTTTATAATGATGTAAATGGTTATGGTTCAGTTGACAAAAATGTACATTTATATGGCATTTTATGTGGTGCTTTTGCATACATCTTTCCGGTTGTTTTGAAGGTAGAAATTTAACAGTGGTGAAAATCAGAGCATCAGTGACAATTCCTCATTAATTTTTATCGTATTTTTTCTAGGTAGTCATAGAATTTAGAGGGTATCTTTTTTTGTCCTTCTAGGATGGGGATTTAAACTCCCACTTATTTAGAAAGACTAGACCTTATTCTAATGATCCACTCTTTTTATAGAGCAGTTGTCAGGGTCTTCTACTTAATTTTATTCCCCCAAACAACACCAATTATCTGGAAATGTTTGTTTTTTTATGTTCTGATAATTAAATTTAGCCATCAGGGTTAGTTCTCCTTTTCTCATAGCTCTAGCTTTGTGGTTAATCCCTTGGTTTTGTCTAGGTCTCTGTTTTTATATTACTTAGCTGGTTCTAGGAGCATCCTTGAATTTCTAAGCCAAGAAAAATCCCCTCCCCTCCCCTCACTTGCTAGTCAACAATGAATCCACAGCAACAGGAGGTAAAATGAAAATAGTAGACATCCTGTAAACTCTCTAGAAACCATAGTTGGAGTTATCTTTGCCTGCCATCCCTACCCCCTACACCACCACCAAGATCAACTACCTAAATCAGTAAACAAAACAACCCCAACATGAAATGATATGCGGTTAAACAGGCTGTGATTGGTTTGCGGGAAGAAGAAGCTTTGATCTGATTAGGAGACGCTGACATGATTTGGGAAAGCATGTGGATTTTAGCCTTTTCCATGTTGTCAGAAAGCTTAGATGCTGTGCTGGATCAATGTCTTGGTTTCAGTTTATAAAAGGCTTTCATATGGATTAACTAATTTAATCCTCACATCAGTCCTGCAGTTTAGCATGCTGTTGTGACCAAGTAGAAGCTGAGGGTCAGAAAGGCTAAGTAACTTGCCTAGTGTCCCAGTGCTAATGAGTGATAAAGCCAGATCTAGAAGCCAGGTCTGGGTTCTAAACCTGATGGCTCTCCACATGTTGCCTCTTTTTGAATCTGTCTTTGATTTCCACTTTTATGAATCGCTGGCCTTCTATCCACCACACACACTCTTACAATGGCTAATTCTGCCCTAAGGAAACATTTTACCCTCAGATAACCATACGGTTCAGAACTAGCAGTAAAGTGAGGACAAATAATTTCACAAATTATATCTATATGCTATTTTGTCCTGAATTTTCGTGTTATAAGTACTATTTTCCTAATGCTTTGACATAAAATATTGCGTGTTAATCACGTTTTCATGGAGGAATTTTCTTTTTAGGTCGGTAGCTCGCATGAGCCAGAAATTTCCCAAAGCTGACTTTGCAGAAGTTACCAAGTTGGTGACAGATCTTACCAAAATCCACAAGGAATGCTGCCATGGTGACCTGCTTGAATGTGCAGATGACAGGGTAAAGAATCTGCAGTATGCTCTGTAGTAACTTACATGCTTCAGTTGGTAGGATGAATTTGCTTAGTATTATCCCCGAAGCCCACAGTGGGTTGAGATTGTATGCTATGCCCAATCTGCTTACTTCTTTCCCTGCTTTGTGGTACTTTTTTTTAACCTGGCTATCCCATTCACTAAATGATCTGACAAACACATTCACTAATTTGTAACCCTTTCAGTCATATTGTGAGGACAAAGGCTTACACTGAAGTAGGATGGCTGCTACAGAAGGCGATTTCTAAGAAGACATTTTTGGGAGGTGGGTGGAGTTGGAGAAGGGCTTCTATCTGAAGAGATCTTGGGAAATTATGTAGTTCCCCGCCCCCTTTATATTCTCTCTCAGTTAACCATCTGTGTTAACTAGACACATATTTAGCATGATATCACTTTTCTCCAAACTTAAAAATATGACCAAATACCAGCATCTTAATCTCTCAGGATACTTTCTGGAAAATTTAAGGCAAAGATTTTACATGTGTAAGTAGGGCCGGTGACTATGGTCTTGACTAATTTTTCAAAGATCTCTCACATTTTATTTAGTTATTTGGTTTCAAAATGCCTGAAAGGACTATTTGGAAAAATAGTACTGAGTTTTAATTTAGAAACTTAAGTGCCTTGACAGTCGAAACACAAAATTAATAATAACCGAGATGGGTCCCTGTTACTGACCATTTTTTGTAATTAAGTGGAAATATTTTAGAGACTAGAGACTCATCTCTAGTCTTAGGAACATGGACTGAAAGTAGTTATAGAAGTCATGTTTTATGTGTGTGGTCTTAGAATACAATAAACATGTTTTGCCAACATAATAAAGGTCTGGGAAGAAAGTGCGGTGATGTCAATTTACGTTGAAAAATTTTTATCAACTCGCTTATAGGCGGATCTGGCCAAGTATATGTGTGAAAATCAGGATTCAATCTCCACTAAAATGAAGGAATGCTGTGATAAGCCTTTGTTGGAAAAATCCCACTGCCTCACTGAGGTGGAAAGAGATGAGTTGCCCGGTGACCTGTCCCCGTTAGCTGCTGACTTTGTTGAAGATAAGGAGGTTTGCAAAAACTATCAGGAGGCAAAAGATGTGTTCCTGGGCACGTAAGTGGATAAGGAATAATCCTTCCATAGCTTTTATATGGCCTCAGGATTCAGGAAGATAAACTAGGCTTTCCTTTGACACTGCTACAATTTCCATGTGGTTTACATGCTTCTCTATCCTTCTCTCTCCTAGCTTTTAAATTTTGGGGGAAAAATTAATTAGTTAAAAAATTATTATAAACTAATACATGCTTATGGCAAAAACTCAATCAGTAGAGAAGAGACTAGAGAAGGGAAGAGAAGAGATAAAAGTTTTATCTTTATTCCTACCACATTCATTTTCTCCTTAGGGATATTTCTGGAAATACCTCTAGGAACATTTTGTGTATACATAAATTATAGACATATTATTCATTCACTTATTCATTCAAAGAATGAACTTACTACAATAGATATGTGTGAATATATGTAATACATCTTTATATCTCTGTATTTCTGAATCTATTTACCTGCCATTTATCTATCTATATAAGGAAGTATAAGAGGAAGTATGCAGTCTGCTACCAGGTGCTTCATAGTTGGTTGAGCAGACCAGGAGTACAGTAGCATGGCAGGGCAGCATGAAATTAAGTGACAAAATAAGTGATTATATATAGTCAGTAAGTGTGGTGATAAACTTTGCATTTTTATTGTTGGATTATAATAGTGTAATGTGCCCTAATATATTTTACATAATTGTGTACCCTTCAAGATTTCACTCCTACAAAGAGGAGAAAGAACAATTCAAGAATTCATCTCTATTTATCTATCAGAACCCTTTTGAGGTATAGTCCAAATTATAAAAAAATATACATAATAATAACAGGTGTCACTCATCAAACATTTAATACATGCCAGACAGCGTGTGCTTTGCATAGATTACGTCATGTATTTCCCACAAACCACCTTATGAGATAGGTACTGTTATTATTCACGTTCTACAGAGAAGGCAACTAAGGCTGTGATGGTTCTAGTAAGTTGCTTAAGGTGATATAGTAAACTGAGTGGCAAAGGCAGGATTTGAATGCAGGTAGCTTTAATTCTGAACTGCATCCCTTTAGCCACTAATCTTCCCTGCATGGGGTCTAGTCAAATTCAGACCTGTGGGAGATGAGTTAGTCTTGAGGTGAGTTATGTGATCTTTCTTGCTCATTTACCCAACGAAATCTATTTTATTTTCATCTGAATTAGGTTTTTGTATGAATACTCAAGAAGGCATCCTGAGTACGCGATCTCTTTGCTGTTGAGACTTGCCAAGGAATATGAAGCCACTCTGGAGAAGTGTTGTGCCACCGATGATCCTCCTAGTTGCTATGGCAAAGTGGTAGGTTTCTTAAAGGGAAACAGTGTAGCACTCCGGCAGATGATCCTTTTTTTTTTAAAATTTTATTTTATTATGTTATGTTAGTCACCATACATTACATCATTAGTTTTTATGTAGTGATCCACGATTCATTGTTTTCGTATAACACCCAGTGCTCCATGCAGTACGTGCCCTCTTTAATACCCATCACAGGGCTATCCCATCCCCCAATGCCCTCCCCTCTAAAACCCTCAGTTTTAATAATGAGAAAGAAAAGTAACCCAAGAATGTGAATTGCTACATAGTGCAATTTAGATCTTTTCTTGACATGGTTTCAATCCTGTACTCTTAAACCTTACAGGAAAAAATAGCTTTAGATGGAATGGTTAGTAAGACCTAAAAGAGTCTAGAAAGGAAAGATCTGAAGGGAGCAATCTCTAATTTCACAAAATCTTGACCATGCCTTTTCTCTTTTTTACACTCCTGAGGACAAAATAAGACAAATTGAAATGTTAGTTAAGAGACTTAACTTAGATATAAAGTTAACCAGATTCCAAGATTTATCAAATATCAAGAATTAGCATCTTAAGGAAGATTGTGAAATCTATTCATTTAGAATATTTTCAAATTTCTGGGAAAAAGTGTAGGAATTGCTTTATAAGTCATTAAGGAGAGGAAACCTTGAGGATTTTTGCCATATTTAGCTATGCTTGAAGAGGATTTTAACATGTTTAAGATATTTAGCACTCCTGGCATATATAGTGGTTTCCAAACTTCAGAATCACAGGAAAGTCATTCTTTCCTCTCTCAAGAACCTACTATATGTCAGGCACCAGACTAGAGCCGATGACCAAGGTAAAATCTCTTATCTCAGGGAGCTCAGAATCCAACTGGAGAGAGGGCTTAATAATAATGATATAATCATAGTCATCATTTATTAAGCTTTCATGAACTGCCAGGCACTGTTTTAATTTCATTAGCTCAGGTGGTTTGTAGAACAATTTTTGAGGTGAGTACCATCTTTATCCCCATTTTCTTTCTTTCTTTTTCTTTTCTCCCTTCTTTTTTGTTAATCCCCATTTTAGCAGTGATGGTTCTGCAGCTTGGAGATAGGAGGTATAATTGCACAATTAGAAAATGAGTCGGATGGCCCGGCTCGAACACCAGCAGTCGCACTCCAGAGTCTGAGTAGTCTTAATCTCTTATACTATACACCCTTGCCAAATAAAATAAACAGTTTGGACATATTATGATAGATATGGCATCAAAGACCTAATTACAAGACTTTGGGCAGAAAGGAGGGAGGAGATCTCATTCTAGCTAGAGTGGTGAAAAAGAACCTGCTTGTGGTCCTTGGGTGGAATTCTGTCAACACAATTCTTTTATCTTTCAGCTTGATGAATTTAAACCTCTTGTGGAAGAGCCTCAGAATTTAGTCAAAACAAACTGTGAACTTTTTGAAAAACTTGGAGAGTATGGCTTCCAAAATGCGTAAGTATTTTGTTTATCAGCTGATTTTTTTCTTGATCAATTTGTAATTATTTAAGACAATATATATACCACCTATCATAGAAATTTTAATCATGAAAATACAGTATATACTTCTAATCTCTCTCCATCAAGAAAGACTAGAGAGGGAGAAATAAAATGGTTAATGGGTTGGAGAGGCCTATATTTGAGTGCAGGTTAAAAAATTGGCCTCTTGAGATCAGAAAGGACAATAGCAAATCGTGGAATGTAGGAACTGAGGATGCCCCTTGAAGGTTAAGGAATAATTTGTGGGCAAACAAAATGCAGCAATGCTTTAAAAAGGAGGAAATGGTAGGCTTTGAATAATAGTAGCTCAAGAAGGAATATATAAGCTGACAGACAAATCCTGATCCACATAGAGTCTTATCTATGGAAGGAAAGATAAGAGACACATCACTCAGTAGATATTTATTGTTTGGTTTAAATATGTTATCACTCTTCTAACTATGTGTGCTAGGGATGACAATAGTGAACCAGATATTGTCTCTTCCCTTGAGTAAATTGTAGTCACACATGACTTTCGGTGGTGATTGGAATTCTTAGTTTGTGATTATTACGTGCTAGATACCATGCCAGGTTGATTGCATACTTTATTTTAATTTAATACTTGCACCATCCCTATGAGTCAGATATACTTATTCCTGTTTTATAGATGAAAAAACTTATACATACCTTTCAAATTTAGCATGGTGTTGATATATATTAAGACCTCAGTAGGTTTTGTGGAAAGAAAGAAGCAATAAATAAATATATTAATGTCACTGAATTATAATAAGTCACTTTCCTAAGATGATACAGCACAGGTGGAAACAAAGATAAGCTTAACTAGTTACTCAGGACAAGGTCTTCCCCCATACCATTCAACCAACCTGGAGACAAAGGTAATTTTATGGATGGAAAGTCATTTTAGTTAATTTTGCCTAAGTGTTCTCTGCTTGACCTACTATGTTAGAGAAAGACAGTTTCTTGCCTGGCTGAAAACACATGAACTATTTTGTTACAGGCTCTTAGTTCGTTACACCAAAAAAGTACCCCAGGTGTCAACTCCAACTATCGTGGAGGTCTCAAGAAAACTAGGAAAAGTGGGCACCAGGTGTTGTAAGAAACCTGAATCGGAAAGAATGCCCTGTGCTGAAGACTATGTGAGTCATTTAAGTATAATAAGTGAATAATGATGAATTTTTGCCTTTAGATAAGGACAAAGCTAACTTTCAGAAACAGGGGTGAACTAACATGTGTGTGCATGCACATGTGTGTGTGTATTTGGTAGTGGCAGCCAGGACTTGGTCACCTATATTATCTTGAATGAGGATTTGTATAAGATCCCCAAAATAATAAATTGACAAAAATTCCATGAGTTTTCAATGTTTCATCCTGGCATTTAAAAAACTTTCATATTCTTTGAGGTCTTTTAAAAATATGTGTCCATATAAGACTGTTTCATTCCCACTCCAATACATATCTCAGGACTCACGTCAAATTATTTCAATCAATTATTTTCTCAAGGGAACTATTATTAAAATGTAGACATAAAGAGAAAATACTTTAAAAAGTCCCTCATTATCTGTAGTTCTAAAGTGAAGCAAATAACTTCCTCAAATCAACCTTGGATTCAATCTTGCTAGTTAAAATATAACACGTCTTTTGGTCCATTGGAAAGTAGGAGTTCATGGAAAACTTTTATTATGCTTCTTTTGAGTGTCTGCTCTCCCACCTGTCCTTTAGCTGTCCGTGGTCCTGAACCGGTTGTGCGTGTTGCACGAGAAGACCCCAGTGAGCGAGAGAGTCACCAAATGCTGCACAGAATCCTTGGTGAACAGACGACCATGCTTTTCTGCCCTGGATGTTGATGAGGCATACGTTCCCAAAGAGTTTAATGCTGAAACATTCACCTTCCATGCAGACTTATGCACACTTCCTGAGGCTGAGAAACAAATCAAGAAACAATCGTGAGTACTATTTCATTACTGTAAGCTTTAGAGTCTTGAGAGTGAGAATTGTAAGTTGAAATGAGTAACTTTTTCTGAAGTAGTGATTATATTCTTTAGAAAATAGTATTTAAGTATTAAGTATTGGTGTTAGTAAGCTGATAAAAATGTCAAGAACAAAATGGATAACTTTTTGTTTTCTTAGTAAAAAACCTCTATATTATAATATTGCCTACAAATCATTCAGAATAATCTTGAGGACAAAAGCTATAGTAGAATAATGTCTTAAGATAAGTCCAGTAGAAAAAGATGAAGAATTAACTGATGCATTTGTGCAAATAGCAACTTAGTTAGTAGAAATCATAGGAGAATTTATTTCTAGGCATGAATGGTTATTTTAAGTTTGTTCTGTGGCAACCCACAGGCAAGGCAAATCCTCAACATATAACTTTTAAGAATGGAACTTGGATGAAAAACACCTAGAAAAATGAGTTCTGAGGCTTGACACCCTATTGCTGTCACAGGGGTTAGGAATGCATGAAATTTAGCACCATAAAGTTGTTATCATCTCAGGGATTTTAATCATAGCCATAGACTTGTGAGTAATATTGCAAAACCCCCTCTCCCTCTAGCACTATTATCTCTGTGAATGTCAATGAAAGAAAACCACCAGCTCCCATAAATTTGGATAGTTTTATTACCTATGGCCTCCCCAGTATTAACTATTGGGGAAATTTCACAGACCAAATATAAAGACTCTCAGGTTAGAAATTTTTTAATGGAGTCCAACAAGATAATCAAGCTTTTAAGGATCAGTTTTAGCTCTTAAATGACTAAAAATTCAATTCAATGTGGTATAACTCTTTTTTTCTTTTTAATATGGCATAATTTCTAAAATCTGAATAATGTACAAATACAATGACATCCTTTCCAGAGACTTACCGAAAAGAGATCTATTGATTTATTGAGACTTATTGGTACTAGAGATGTTGAGCAATTTACATTGATTATCTCCTTTGATCCTTCCACCAACCCTATGAAGGTGACTTTTATTCTCCTCATTATGAAGATGAGAATATTAAAGCTTTTAGTGGTAAGCCTGGGCCTCAAGCTCTGAGTCGCCTGGCCAAGACTCATAATCTTCAACAATACTACTACTGTCTTTACCATCTCCACTTCTCTTTTTCATTTTTTTAAAAAGATTGAAGTGTAGTTGACATGCAATGTTAAATTAGTTTCAGGTGTACAACATAGTGGTGTGACAAGTCTATACCTTATGCTGTGCTCACCACAAGTGTAGCTGCCATCCATCAGCATACAATGGGATTACAGTACCACTGTATGGTACTATGCTGTGTCTTTTAATCCAGAGGTTTACTCATTCCATTACTTTCTTTACGTAAATAAACTTTTTTTCTGACTTTTGTTGTCATTGTTTTGTTTTCATTCAAATGCAGTGCACTTGTTGAGCTGGTGAAACACAAGCCCAAAGCAACTGAGGAACAACTGAAAACTGTTATGGGGGATTTCGGAGCCTTTGTAGAGAAGTGCTGTGCAGCTGAAGACAAAGAGGCCTGCTTTGCTGAGGAGGTACTGGAGCCTCTTCATTGCAATATGGCTCATTTCCTTTCTTGTCGCCTTTGATCGGACCAGGGCTTAGGGGTTTATATATCTGAAGAACACTCTGTACATTCCAGACCAGAATCTTTTTCCACATACAAAATTATCTGACGAAATTACTTAAATAGCTCTCTCTCTCTCTCTTTTTTTATCTCCTGCTGCACTAGAGTATATTAGTAAATCTTCATAGTATTTGCTCTGTTTCCAAAGTTGTGATGTTTATGAATATAGATGGAAATATTTGTAAGGCTCAAGTCTTTGAGCCAAACATTAATTTATTGAAACCTGTTCTTGAAAAATGCTGGTTTGTGATTTGGTTGAATCTGAGTTTGATTTTATAGGTTAATGAGGGAAGTTTATATTTAAATGTCTGAATCATTTATTATTCCCTCTATGACTTGAGGGTAATGTTTTTATTCCTTTGGGAACAATGGGTGTCAGTAAGCTTCCTTGTAGAGATTCTAGTACTAAACTGGAATTAAAGAATGTGATTCATGTAAAATTAGTTTGTAATTACAAATGGCTGTATAAGTATCAACTTTTTATCCTAATAGTAATGCTAATATTTTCCCCAAATCTGTCATTTCTCGGTATTCAGGGTCCAAAACTTGTTGCCACAGCTCAAGCTGCCTTAGCCTAAAAGAACACCATCAGAAGCATCTCAGGTAACTATACTTTGGATTTTTGTTTTAAAAAAGTAATTATAATAGTTACCATTAAAATAGCAAAGGTTGACCAATCATTTACCAAGAGCCATATAGACCAGTGCCAATCACTGTTCTAAGAACTTTATATGTATTAATTTATTTAATTCTCAAAAGAGTTGCCTAAGTTGAGTGTCATTATTTTTCCCATTTTTCAGATGAGAACATGAAGGCACAGATAGACGTGAGTTCCATAATTTACCCAAGGACCACCCAGCTCGTGAGGGGTGGAGCCACAATTTAAAATTCAAACCAAAGCTTGAGAGTTAACCAGTGTCCTGTTCTGACCTAACGTGACACAGTAGACAGAATCATTCAACTGAGCAATGGCTTAACAGTGAGGTTTCTAGGTATTAGGCTGGACCATATGAAAGTGCATTTTTTAAGGTAAAAAACGGTTGAATAGCAATGATTTCACACGGTTCAATCCAACAGCCCAGTAACAAATTAATTTCATTGGAGAGTATGACAGATCTGCCTTATGTGAACCTGCACTTTATAGTGAATAACTTGCTCCTGAGGCCCACTTTAAAATTTAAATGTTTGAACATAAACATGTTTCACCCATTTTGGTTGTAATATTTTGTGGGAAATTAAAAAAGATAGTATCAATTCTCTTTTTTAAAACAAATTGTCCGACTATTTTCTAGCATGAATTATTTTCATATTTTCCGAACTATGAGGTCTGTTCCCACTATGAAGTTTTCACTTACTCTTTGCCCACCTGATAATACCTACAAATTGTGCATTCAAGTGAGGAAGCAACTTCGTATCTCCTGTAAATTTGATCTTTTCAAAATGTGATTTGTTTTCATCCTAAATGGCAAGATTTTCTTCTGAAAGGTCTAAATTTGAGAGACACTTGTTTTATTGGTAATTAATTTAGGTAAGAAGTAGGTGTTAGGCAAGTGACTCTGAGGAGTGATGATGAAAAGCTTGGGACTTTGAAGTCTGAGGAGCTGATGACATCAGTGACAAAGAGAGGACTTGACAATATTATTGATGTGTCCTCTCCCCCAGCCCAACAGAAGAATTCAGAGTCCAGGACAGGCTGAATGATCTTCTTTGGTGGAAATTGCAGGAAGACAATCTAAGCAATTCAACATTCATTTGAATAGATTTCAAAAACTCATACCATTTTACAAACAGTACTTATATTTGTCTTTTTGTCTTTCAGCCTGCCCTGAGAATAAGAGAAAGAAAGAGAAATGAAGACCTAGAACTTATTCATCTGTTTTTCTTTTCTGTTGGTATAAAACCAACCCTCTGTCTAAAGAACACAAATTTCTTTAAACATTTTGCTCTTTTCTCTGTGCTGTAATTAATAAAAAATGAAAAGAATCTAATATTATTGTCCAGGACTGTTATTTTTCACAGATGTATTGCCATCCTGGAAATTTTGTAGGTTCTGTGAATGTCCCACTGTTCTCTCTTTTCCCACTTCTGTCTAGTTCTTTAGGGGCTAGTTGATTAAAAGAAACATTAATGATCTTCTGAGTTATGGATCATAAACATGCAAAGGAATATTTTAACATTATCATAATTCTGATAAAAGAATGAAAACAGGTATAGGCTTTTCCTTGCTAAGGACTAAGAAATATGAGGGACAAAGAGGGTAGAGATGATTGTAAGGATGGTTAATTGAACTGGAAAAAAAAAACTGAGCCTCAAAAAAATGTAAGGCAGTTTAGGATGGCAATACACGAACAGTGTAAGAAGCTTAACCAGGTTGGAGAAGCCTTGTTGGAGGAGGGAATCAGGAGATCTGGATGAAGGTACAATAGAGAGTGCGCAAGATATAGAGGACTGAGGGAGCTCAAGAGTTGGCACGTAAAGTGTTCTTGTAAGAACTGAGATGTTACACTCAAAACTGAGCCTCTTGTCCCTGTTCCCAGAGGTAACCACTGATATCAGACAATTATGTATGAATTTACATACCTAAAGTCATTTATAGCCTTATTAATTTGTGTACTTTAGAAATTTTTATAGAATTGGTTTCATATGTACCTGCCATTGACAACCTGCTTATTTTCCCCTAATAATGATGCTTTATAGTTTCATTTTAGGTATGATGCTTGCAAAAGATTTTGGTACTGAGTTAAAAAAGTCTCCTTCCATTTTTGGAATGTTGCATCCCCCAGGCCCCCAACCCCCTAACCCTACCCATTCCCACCCGCCACCCACTTTAACCTCTCATCGCTGACTATATCAAATACTTTTCCACATTGGATGCAATCATCACAAAGGTGGGAGGGATTCTGGAAGGGGAGAAGTGGAGATGGTAGGCACTGGCTCATCAAAGACCCTGGAGACAGATCTAGAAAATTTTGAGTAAGATGTTTTCACAGAACTGGACCCACACAGGACCAGGTCTGGGTTCCCTGTCTGGATGGCATTGTCACTCAGCCAGCAAAGGGGGACTTAAAACTTTTGGAGAAAGATGCTCCAAAACATAAAACTCTCAGAGTTCAGCTTCCCTGCTTCCTGAGGGGTCAGATTCCCCTGGGGAGCTCAGACATTTGAGTCTGAGTGGTCTAGGAGCCCAAGGCCTGCTCTACATCTGGCAGGGCAGCCTGGCAAGCACATTATTCTGGCTGGGTGGCTGTTGCAGTATGCCTTTGCTGCACAGTGCAGAAATTTGGGCCACCAGAATGGCGCAGACACACTAATGAGTGAGTGTGTGTGTGTGTGTGTGTGTGTGTGTGTGTGTGAGAGAGAGAGAGAGAGAGAGAGAGAGAGAGAGAGAAATGCTCTTCTCTTCCTTTCATATGAAGGAGCACATGATATTCATATGATTTATTGCCAGGGATGTTAGGATTGAGCACTGGTTAAGGTAGTGTTTGCCAGGTTTTTCCACTCTAAAGTTACCATTTTTCCCTTTCCATACTCTATTTTTGGAAGCCAGTCACTAAATCTAGCTTATATTCAAACTGAGGGAGGGAGAGGATGAAGTTCCACGAAGGGGGAGTGTTGACATATATTATTTAGAATCCTTCTGTAGGAAAGATTTGTCACATCACTCCATTTATTTATTTATTTATTTATTTATTTATTTATTTATTTATCTATTCATTCATTCATTCATTCATTCACTTTATATTAGTATGAATTCATGTATATTTACTTTGTACTTTGGGTTATAATTCAATGCTACATAATGTATTTTTTTGCTCAAATTATTTCAGCTTTGGCCTTTGTGAGTGCTTTTAGTTTGGCTTCTGTGTCCCTCTGACCTGCCCCCCATATTTTGTTTCTTGGGCACTTCTTCACTTTCTGGCACTTTGAGATGATCCAAGCTCATCTTGTTATTTTCCCTTCCCCAGACCTGGAAACAGCCATTTCTTCAAGGAGCTCTGGTTCTATTGAATAGATAATGGTATTTAAACAATAATCTGAGCACTGTTGTACTTGTTAATGAGGTCTCACTGCTTCTAGACTCTTTCAGGGAAGAGAGCTAAGAAATGTGGGTTTGTGTATTAACCCATGTACACACACATACCTGTAATTATTCTGTATCATCTATCTCTCTATCTATCTATCTATCTATCTATCTATCTATCTATCTATCTAGAATTCATACTGATGTCTCTGACTATTCCCAGAACACAAAGTTCATCCAACCTTTCCCTTTTTTTAAAGATTTTATTTATTTATTTGACAGAGAGAGACACAGCGAGAGAGGGAACACAAGCAGGGGGAGTGGGAGAGGGAGAAGCAGGCTTCCTGATGAGCAGGGAGCCCGATGTGGGACCCGATCCCAGGACTTGGGATCATGACCTGAGCCGAAGGCAGACGCTTAACGACCGAGACACCCAGGCATCCCTCAAGACTTCCTTTCTTGCATATTTATTACTTCCCTTTTTGATAGTGAGAAACTTGGCTCCCATTACCTACCATGCATGTACTTATTTATTCAACCCCAGAATACAAAATTATTGACCCATACCTCCATATAAAACAAATTTACCAACTAGAGTACGGTGTCTATATGTCTTATAATTTCCAGTCAAAACCCTATTTTTCAAAGTCACTTAGTTCCATTTTTCTCCTACCTTCTTCAGTGAGGTTGTGACTGGCGAGTTTTGGGTGACTCACTCACTCACACTGGACACAAGATGAATATAGGGTCTGGGAGGTTGACTGATTTTTGGCTTGAGCTGCATGCATGGGCTTATCCAGCAGATTTTTCCTGTATGTGTTCCAATAGGATAGCCTCTGTCTACTATATGCAAAGGTGGTAGGTGGTGACAGGAGTCCCTTATGTACTCCCTTCCCCTGGCACCCAGGATAGTCACTCCAGTCCCTCCACAAACTCCACATCAATTGTCATGTAGTCTTCAGGAGGGGACATGTCTATTTCTTCCAAGGGCTTTGGAGACAATTGCTCTGCAATGCCACTGGGCCTTTCCAGTTGATGTCTTCTCTTGCCTCTGTCAGTTTGGTTATATCATGCTCCCCTGCCAAATATCTTAAACTCTGCCAAATATCCTTTATAGGAATGGAATCACTCTTCTTGCTTCACCACAGGGCCCTCACCTATCATCCCTGTTGGTGGCTGTGTGTGGAAACCAGGAGTGCAGTTAACAGTGAAAGAGATTGCATTCTAGAAATACAGTGATTATGATCTAAGAGTTCAGTAGAAAATATGGGTGGAAGATGGGCTGATCTATGTTTATGCTAAGACAGTCATAATGATAAGTTTAAGGTGACCAGAGACTTGCATTTGTGATTATCATCAATGAAGCACAATGATAACATTCAAGAGAATCACTGGAAGCCAGAATTCATGGTGACATGATGAATAATACATCATTGTGAATAATGATGTAACCAATACTACATTAAATAGATGATAGTTGAGAACTACAGAGACAAGGAGGGAGATTTATTTGTTCCAATACAAATAGGCTCTAAGGGGCCATCACAATATGAATAATAACAGCACTGCCACCTTTTTCTTGAGATGGCAGATAGAAAATTAGCCAGGAAGGAGATGAATTTGAATAAAGAAGATATACCAACGAAAAGATGGTATCTGGACCTGAACAGGAAGATACGCTCTCTGGACATTAGGAAGAATCTTCTTGTGCACTGACTGGACAATAAACAAGCATGTAAGTATCACTTTTCTCTCTATTCACTATTTTACATCTTAAGTAATAAATTAATATAATCACATGGGCTCATGCTGGTGTTGCATAAGTCCAGAAGACATCATTAATATGGACTAAGATGTGAAGAGTGCCACCTGGAGTTGAACAGCATGGGTCCAGTTATTTTTATCACTATTTTTAACATTATAGGGATTTGGTTTCCAAAAGGGTGGTTGACAGCGTGATGAGCACTGTTTTATACCGGATGTGTGGGCTAGGTGGACATTACACATGGAATCACACAGTTTTCACCCTTGCTTCTCACCTGACAACTCTCTTTGCTCCTCTTCAGGCACCTTATAAAGTGATTATTGTTCCCATCTCTTTTTTCACCTTCCCTTCAAGATTCTAAGCAGTTTGAACTTCATGCTATTCCTTAACACGCCATGCTTTTTTATGGATGCTTTTTCCTTCTACCTGGGATGTCTTTCTCTCTCTTCTTTATCTGCTTAAACTCAAAGGTCACCTTCTTTGAGGAAATTTCCCTGCATTAAGTTGGTCACTTCCTTCCCTGATGTCCCTTCATTTTTTGAACTTGAATTATTATAGCATTCATCCTTTATTATAATTATGGTAGATTTTATATATTTTTAATAATATCTTTTATTTAAAACAGTATACTACTTTAAACATGTAAAATCTGAGACCTAGACTTGGAATTTGAACACACCTGGTGCTGACTCTTGAGAGCAAGCCCATTTAATGGTATCAGTTCACTTCTATATCTCTCTTCAACTAGATAGTGTTTCTCACCAGAAGGGACATGAATTGGAAGTTCATGTGTCTCTCTTGGCACTTAACATAACCTGGTACATAATGCATATTCAATAAAAATTAGAGGAATAAATTGATTTATGCTAAGGGCTATAAATATTCTAAACTACAAATTATGGAATTCTGGCTTACAATAATTTCTCGAACTTCCAAAACAGTAGATACAGTAAAATGAATTTTATGCGAATTTGAATCATGCAAGTTTGTGCTTTAAGATAATAATAATGATACATTTTACTTAAAAATGTGAAATAGGGGGCGCCTGGATGGTTCAGTTGGTTAAGCAGCTGCCTTCAGCTCAGGTCATGATCCCAGGGTCCTGGGATCGAGCCCCACATCAGGCTCCCTGCTCAGTGGGGAGCGTGTTTCTCCCTCTCCCTCTGCCTGCTGCTCTGCCTACTTGTG